AAGGGAGAAGTACCTTCAAAGATTCAGTGGAAAGGATTGGGTGCGGTTTTTGAACAGACACCCAGAACTGTATCAGTTTTCTGCTGGTAAAGTTCATTTCTAACGAAGCGTCCTCAGATAAATTAAAAAGTTCTTCCTCAGCTTTTGTCGATATCCCACTCGTTATGTCAGGCTGAAAGGGGTTCATAATCCATTTTTTCTCTTGGATATTTTTCATTTCTTCAAGGAAATAAAACTCAAAACTCTCTTTCAGCTTCTTCAAGTGTTCAGATATCTCAATGATTATATCGTCATCAACAAGGAGAATGAAGCAAAAACCTTTGTAATGAAATGTTTCAAAACAGTCATAATTTCTGTTGTCAATACATTTCATCGATCCTATGCGTGACCATGTTATTAGAAATAGGAATTGTTTCAATTTCTTGTTCACTCTTATCACCAAAGAAAACTTTAACGGTATTTTTTATAGCTGGAAGAACTAAAGTCTCTCCAATTGTATGTGGTTTACCAGCTTTCGCGATTCTCAAACTGATCAGGTAGGACACGTACAAAGATTTTTCATTAACTTTGGTGTAACGTTGCATAACACTCTGTCCTGTCTTCAACTTGCTTAGCATCCTTTCAAAAAATTCGAGGGGTTTGTCTTTCAACTTGGGATGCTTCATCTCAATATGGTGACGCAATTTATTTGGGCGCATGCTCTCGTTTGCAAGTTGATCACAACAAATAATACATCGTGGTTGTGGATCTCCTTCATCTCCATTCCATGTAAATCCCATTTCTAAGAACTTGGAATCATACTTTCTCACCACTTTTCTTCGTTTTGATTGACTCGGTTTTGACTGACCTGACTTTTCTTCTTTTTGATTCACTGAAGACTCATTGTCATCAACTTCAACTGACTTCTTTAACCATTTATCCATTACATGAAGGGCTGAGTAAATTTGAAAAAAAATCGGATTCAAAATCTGAAGTAACACAGACAATTTCGACTTGCCACAATTAAAAAACTGGTTGGCGTAGGATCACGCGCATGCCAAAACGCTTCACACCATCTATTCCAGTCATTTCATTGGGTGACACGACGCACTCGTGAAGCCTCGAAGCAGTTATCATCTCGCTCAGCGTTGTACCGGTTTTATCAGTTGATTGCAGAATTTTAACATTTGATTGCAGAATCTGAGGCTCCTACGCCTATGCTATTTCAATCAAAAGTTAAAATTCTGTAACCAAAGGTTAGATATCTACTTACAAAGGATATCTAGAAATAAAAAACTATAGATATCGATAATCAAAAGTTAAAATTCTGGAATCAAAAGTTAGATATCTGCATTCAAATGTTAGAAATCTACAATCCATTGTGGGGGCGCATTATATCTACATATAATCAAAGGATACCTAGGAATATAAAAAACTATAGATATCTATAATCAAAAGTTAAAATTCTGCAATCAACTGATAAAACCAGTACTATAGCTAAAGTACTGTATGAAAAGGTGAAAATTGATTTCCTTTTTACGATGACGAATGATTAAATTGAGAGCATGATCAACCCTGATTCATTAAGCTCATCAAAATAACATACTGCTTGATACAACAACAGCCTGGCAATGAAAGCCCGAGTCTTGAACTATCTCGACAGACAGTGTTTAATCGAAGCTAATGCGTAAATCTAGTATAACTTTTTATGACCCACTAACATTCCGCTTGCGTCCCATAGTTTGGGAAACGCTGCATTAGACGATACTGGAGACTGCAGTGTAAGTGTACTTATAAAAAAATAAAAAATTAAATATAAGTTGTAACAAAAATAAATAATGACTGTATTACTGTTACTATTAATAATATATAGTGTTAACCAACTATAAACTAATACAACAAAAAGCTGAAGTTACATATCAAAGTAAAAGTAATACTAATACTTAGTAATACTTACTAATAGTACTAACAGTAACAGTGATACTATTAGTATTATACTAAGCCTAACAATAAGATTGGGCCAGAATAAGCATAGTAGTAAGAGCAGCAGTTCTTGTAACTTATACTCTCTTCATATTAAGTATTAGTAAACAGTAATACTAAACATTTAAATAATTCACTTAGTCATTTACAATGTACTCTAACATTAGTAACAAATTAAAACCGCTTACCTCTTCCTCTCACTTTAATATGTCATATAATAAAACTAAAAAGCTTATCGCGTACTACTAGAAGCTGTGGCGACACCTGGAGTATAAATGATAAGTTATTTACTAATGTTATGAATTACATATCCTTTAAAATTTATAGCTTCAAATATTTATTAATATGGGTAATACAATTCGAAATATAAACCTTAAGAACGGCCCAGCATGGCCAGGTGGTTAGGGTGCTCGACTCGTAATCTGAGGATCGCGGGGTCGAATCCCAATCCCACCAAATATAAAGGTTGTTATGTTTAAAGTGACTGTGGAAATTCTGTGTATTACTAAAATTTGTATCGAGAAGAAAAAAAAACCTAGTTTTAATCAAGAAGGGACTTGTGTCGCTGAAGTTCCTCGGAAAGAATTTATACAGAAATGAACAAACAAACAGATAAGCAACAATGCACTACATCTTAATTTTGATATACATTTTTTTCATTGTATTATTTGAGGTATTTAAAAGAATTAATATTAAATATAAAAACTTTTTTTGTTTTTGCTAATTTGCTAGTTGTGGATAAGTTGAGATCATTTCTCATGCCTATGGATTTTATGTAAACATAGCCCATACATTGTACTGCTCAGCATGTTGTGTAATTCTACCTGTCCTATAATATTTACAATTGTGATTGTCATAGTATTTTGTATGATTACGTTTAAAAAGTGAAACTTCTATTAATTTAAAATTGGCTTGAGGAAGGAAATTTTGGTATGCAGATAACACAAACTTTACTCTTTGATAATGTATTGTTACGACAGCGGGGGTCACGTGATTCTAGTAACACGT